TTGTGTACCATTTACATAGATGATTTAGAGTTGGGGACCAAGTGTAGTGTGTCAGAGTTTGCAGAGGACACTAAGATGCAAAGCACACTGAAAGTCTGCAGACAAATATGGATCTGTTAAGTGAGTAGGCAAGGGTCTGGCAGATGGAGTACAACAGTGGTAAATGTAAAGTCATCAATTTTAGTTGAAATAACAGCAAACTGGACTACTATTTAAATGGTGAAAAATTGCGGCATGCTGCTGTGCAGAGGGAGCTGGGTTCCTTGAACATGAACCACAAAAGGTTATGTTGCAGGTGCACCAGGTAATTAAGAAGGCAAATGGAATATTGTCCTTCCTTGTTAGAGGGATGGAGTTTGAAAACAGGGAGGTTTTATACAGCTGCAGCTGTATAGGGTGCTGGTGAGCCCACAGCTGGAGCACTGTGTACAGTTTTGGTCTCCTTACTTGAGAAAAGATGTACTGGCACTGGAGAGGGTGCAGAGAAGGTTCATTAGGTTGATTACAGAATTGAGAGGGTTAGTTTATGAGGAGAGATTAAGTATACTGGGATTATACTCATTGGAATTTAAAAGAATGAGGGGTGATCTTATAGAAAAATATAAATTATGAAGGGAATAAATAAGATAGAAGCAGGGAGGTTGTTTCCACTGGCAGGTGAAACTAGAACTAGGGGACATAGCCTCAAAATAAGGGGGAGCAGATTTAGGACTGAGTTGAGAAGGAAGTTCTTCACCCAAATGGTTGTGAATCTGTGGAATTCCCTGCCCAGTGAAGCAGTTGAGGCAACCCTCTTGAATGTTTTTAAGGCAAAGATAGATTTTTGAACAGTGAAGAAATTAAGGGTTATGGTGAGCAGGTGGGAAAGAATCATAGAATCCCTACAGTATGGAAACAGGTCCTTCGGCCCAACAAGTCCACACCGACTCTCAGAGCATCCCACCCAGACCCATTCCCCTATAACCCACCTAATCTACACATTCCAGAACACTACAGACAATTTAGCATGGCCAATCCACCTAGCCTGCAGATCTTTGGACTGAGAGAAGGAAACCGGAGCACCCGGAGGAAACCCACTCAGACACAGGGAGAATGTGCAAACTCCATACAGCCAGTTGCCCAAGGGTGGAATTCAACCTGGGTCCCTGGCACTGTAAGGCAGCAGTGCTAACCACTGCACCACCGTGCCACCCCAAAGTGGAGCTGAATCCATGAAAAGATCAGCCGTGACCTTATTGAGTAATGGAGCAGGCCCGAGGGGCCAGATGGCCTACTCCTGCTCCTATTTCTTATGTTCATATGATCCCATTTTCCAGTCTCCCCCAATCAAATTTTGAAATTTCTTGCCTCATACTGTCAAAATTGGCCTTCCTCCAATTTAGAACTTTAACTTTTAGATCAGGTCTATCCTTTTCTGTCGCTATTGTAAAACTAATAAAATTATGATCTCTGGTCCCAATGTGCTCCCCCACTAATATCTCAGTAACATGTCATGCCTTATTTTCCAAAAGAAAATCAAGTTTTGCTTTAGTAGGTACATCCTACAGACTGAGTAAGAAAACTTTTTTGACCAAGCTGAATAAATTCCTTTCCATCCAAGCCCTTAACACTATGACAGTCCCAGTCTAGTTTGGAAAGTTAAAAACCATTACAAACCTATTATTCTTACAGATAACTGAGATCTCCCTATAAATTTGCTTCTCAATTTCCCACTGACTATTAGCGGGGGGGTCTACAGTACAATCCCAATAAGGTAATCATTCCCTTTCTTATTTCTCAGTTCCACCCAAATAACTTCAGTGGACATACTCCAAGGAATATCCTCCCTAAGTACAACTGTAATGTTATCCCTAACCAAAAACGCCACTCCCTCTCCACTCTTGCCACCCTTTCTAAACTTCCTTTAGCATCTATACTTTGAAACATTAAGCTGCCAGTCCTGTCCATTCCTGAGCCTTGTTTCTCTAATATCTGTTAGAAGCTAGCCACAGAAACATCAGTCTGTGCCCCTGGCTACAGAGTCCCCTATCACAATCGATCACTTGAAACCTGATACAACCCTCATTACAGTAGAGCCAGTCATGGCACCAGTAACCTCGCTGTCAGTGTTACATTTATTGGAGTCCATCATTCCCTACATTTTCCAATGCAGCATACTTGTTTGAGATGGGTATTGCCACAGGAGACTCCTGCACTACCTGCTTACCTCTCCTAACCCATCTACTTGACTGTATCTGCAGTACCCTACCGTTTGAAACTGCCATTTATCACACCCCTGGCTTCTGTAAATTCCTCACTGCCTCTAACTGCCGCTTCAACTGATCCATTCGAACCAATGGGATTTGCAACCACACTTCCTGCCGACATAATCATCAGGATCATTGAAAGTCTCCCTAATTGCCCACATCTGACAGGAAGAGCACACCACTCTATGTAAGGCCAACTTGTACCTTTACAATCTACAGACCCAGAAAAGGGCTCGCTCCTACTGCTCTAAAAACACTACTCTAAGACAACTTAATTCCTATGTCTTTTACTTGAAAAAAAACAATCAACATCCGGATCTCAGTAAGACAATAATTTTAAAAACCCTCAACACATACTCACTATTTCCAAGAAAACAAAGATTTATGTTTTAAAAAGTTAAAACCACTGAGCTGATCCGTGGCTGTATGTAGTTCCGACAATGAGGTCTCTTCAAGGTCAGCTGTGAATTGTCACTGTTTTTCTTTTGTCTCAACTCCACTTCCAGAGATGCTTGTAATTTCTGAGCCAGAACAGAGACACCTAGGGGTTTAAGTCTTTGAAGTTTGCGTCACATATAGATAGGGTAGTTAAGAAGATGTTTAGCATGCTTGCCTTCATTGCTCAGGCCCAAAAGTATAGTAGTTAGGACGTTATGTTGAGGTTGTACAGGACATTGGTGAGGCCTGTGTCCAGTTCCAGTTGCCCTGTTGTAGGATGGATATTATTAAGCCAGAGAGGGTTCAGAAGAAATTTACCAGCATGTTGCCGAGAATGGAGGGTTTGAGTTATATGGCGAGACTGGATAGGCTGGGACTTTTTCCACTGAAGCGTATGAGGTTGACAGGTGACCTTATAGAGGTTTATAAAATTTTGAGAGGTATAGATAGGGTGAATGGTGGGTGTCCTTTCCCTAAGGTGGGGAATTACAATACTTGGGTACATATTTTTTTAAGATGACAGGAGAATGATTTAAAAAAGACTTTAGGGGATTTTTTTTTTCTTTTTTACAGAGAGTGGTTCATGTGTGGAATGAACTTCCAGAGGAAGTGGTGGATATGGACAAGTACATGAATAAGAAATGTTTGGAAAGATATGGGCCAAGCACAGGCAGGTGAGACCAGTTTAGTTTGGGATTATTGGTCAGCACGGACTGGTTGGACCGAAGGGTTTGTTTCCATGCTGTATGACTTTGTGACTCTAACTCTCGATATCTCTGTAAATTCTTCCAGCCACTACAACCCTCTCTGTCACTGTCATTTCATCCAACTTCACAACTCTCCCTATCATTGTCATCTCATCCAGCCTCACAACTCCCCTATCTCTATAATTCCCCTGCAGCCTCAGAACCTTCCCTAACTCTGTAATCTCCTCCAGCCTCAGAACCCTCACTATCTCTGGTATCACAAACATCTCTATCTCTGTAACATCCTCCAATCTCACAATCCTCCCTATCTCAGTAGTCCCCTCCAGCCTCATAAACCTCCCTACCTCTAATCTCCTCCAGCCTCACAGATCTCTGCAATATGCGCTTTACTCTACTTCCATCCTTATGTGGATAACCCATTTTGATTTACCACTTGATGAAGGCACTTTCAGATTCCTGTGCCCCAAGCTCCAGAATTTCCTCCTAAACTGCTCCACCTCTCTAACCTCACTTTCCTCCTAAAAACGTTGACCAATTATGAGTCACCTATTCTACTATCACCTCCTCTGACCTGGTTTCAAATGTGGCTTGTCATATTTCTATGTTAAGTGCCTTGGAGGTCTACAGCACAGAAACAGACTCTGTGGCTATCGGGTCTGTGCCAGCAAAGAAAACTACCACCTAACTATTCAAATCCCATTTTCCAGCACTTGGCCCATAGCCTTGCATTGCAAGTGTGTATCTAAATATATCTTAAATTTTATTATGGTTTTTGCATCTACCACCATTGCAGACAGTGAGGTTCAGTGCATTTGTCGTTGCATGATGACATTACCCACAGGAACACAGAGCATCTGAGTCTGTGCAAACCAGAAATCACCCACACATTGGGAAGGATAGGAGGGTTGCTGAGAGGGTGCCGTGGAGATTTACCAGGATGGTTCAAGGAATGGGGGAATTTAGTTACATGGTTAGGAGTTTTTTTTTTTATATTATTCACTCACGTGACATGGGTGTTGCTGGTACACATCGAGAATATCCATCTACAATAGATGGACTCTCCTTTTCAATCTCTCCCCTTGTCTGCAGTGTGGTAACCTCCACATTAAACCATCACCAGTCATCGGTCTCAAATGAGAGAGCAGCCCTACCAGACAATGGTAACTTTACCTTTTACGCAGATACCACTGTGCCTCGATGATGGAGAGAGGAAATGTTGAAGGTTATGAATGGGACACCAATCAATCACAGTGGTTTGTCCTGTAGGATGTCCACTTTCTTTAATATTGTTGGGGGCTGCACTGATGTAGGCAAGTGGAGAACGTTCCAACACAATCCTGATGTGTGCCTTATAGACAGCAAACAGACATTGGGGAATCATGTGTTTGGAAAAACTGAGATTATTCTCCTTATAGCAAACGAAATTGAAGGGAGCTTTGAGAGAGCTGTTTACAAAATATATACATTAGGATGATAAAACTTACACTCATTAGCCGATCATAAAATGGCACATATTGGAGATTTTGTGGAAAATCTACTGAGAGAATGAGCTGATTTAAGCGAGGAATTTTATTCAGCAAGTGGGAATGATCTGGAACACAATACTCACACACAATGCAAATATCCAGGTCCTGGTGAACTGAGTAATTCTGTCAGAGTTTGGCATTGCAATTATTGAGATTCCCACCTGAAAGCCCACTTCTAATATCCTGTAACACAAGTTCATAAAATCCACTGTCAGTCCAGAGTAGAAATTCACAATATCCCCTCCTCGTGGCCCAGGATGACTATACATTCTCCCTGCTGCACATTACCCCTTGTGGAGGTCAGCAGTCGATTCAGGGGGAAATCTATATAGGTTTCTATGAGTTTTCACCTTGGGACTTCAGTGACTGAACAAAGCAGCAGATCTTTGACACAAGGGACAGAAGGTTCCAAGAGGTAATGAGATGCAAAGAGCAGGATTTGCTTCCTCTTTCTTTCTGTGCTGCCGCTGTACCTTATTAATAAGACATTGTGTGTGAAAGGCTAATGCAGCTCGATGGACATGTTGTCACCATTCTTAATGGGCAGCAAGCTCCTCCCAGTCATTCCAAAGAATTCCCCCTAAAAAGACAGCGATTGTGCATGTGTCCTGCTGCCCAGTACTCCCGATAAAGAGTTTAGAAGAATGAGAAGAGATTGCATAGAAAAGTCATGACAAACAAGTTCTGAAAGGGTTACGAACAGTTTACAGAGAGATATTTATAGGATAAGCGGGCAGCAAATTGGTAAATGGTGTATAATGCAGGAAAATGTGAAGTTGTTCATTTTGGAGGAGACAACAAAAGAACAGAGTACTTTTTAAATGGCAAAAACTGTGGAAAGCTGCAATACAAAGAGACTTGGGGGTAATTGTGCAGGAAACACAGAAGGCTAGCACACATTTGCAACAGGTGATCAAGAAGGGTTATAGAATGTTGTCCCTTATTTCAAAGTGCTTGCAGTATAAGAATTTGTGTCTTTGTACAACGCACTGGTGAGACCACATCTGGAGTAATGTGAGCAGCTTTGGTCCACTTATTTAAGGAAATATATCACTTCATTGGAGGCATTTGAGATAAGATTAACGAGGATCATCCCTGGTTTGGAGGGATCATCTCTTAAGCAAAGGCTAAACCAGTTGGGAATCTACTCACTGGATTTTGGAAGAATGAAAGGTGATCTAATTGAAGCATATAGAATTCTTAAGGGGTTTGACAGGGTAAATGCCGAGAGGATGTGTCCCATCATGGGAGGGTCTCAGACCAGATTCTTGATCAGTCAGGGAATCAAGGGTCATGTTTCAGAATCATCAGGTTTAAGACAACATAAACACAGGTAAGGGTTTCAGTAGCAAATGAGCTGGGGCGAGGTGGAGAGAAGGAAAATTTTAGAGATTGAAATGTCTAGTATTTGTGATTGAGTAGATATGAGATCAGATGCTCATCTTGGGGTCAGATATGAGAGCAATATTGTGAAGAGTGTAGTTCAGCCGCAGGCAGAGGGAGGGAGGGACTCAGCAGTAAGGGAAAGTAATTTGTAATAACAACCGAAGGCAATAATTTAACTATTGCAAAGTTATACTGGAGGAAATTTCAACGAATCGAGTAATGGAAGCGCGATAAGCAGTTTGATAATTGAGTAACAGTGAAGCAATGGAGAGGGATGATGGTGAGGTAGAGCTGGCATTGTCAGTGTACACGCAAAACTAACACTGTAATCTTGGACAACGTCACCTCCTGGCAGAATGTAGGTGAGAAACCGGAGGGGCTAAGGATAGATCTTTGACGGACACCAAATACATGGACTTCAGAGAGGAAAGGGAGAGTGGAGATGGAGCGGGATTTTCCATCAACGGTGAGGTCAAATATTATTTTAACAGAATGGGTGAGAAGGACAGAACCAGATAAGAGAGAGACACAGAACAAGGAACAATATCTGTGAATTGGCTTGGGGGAGTGACGAGGAGGAGGAAAAGAAGACAGAAAGAGTTGGAACGTCTGTAGTTAAGCAAGAATGGGGTAAAGGGTCAGGTGAGCTCCGATAAGGCTTGACAAGAGACTGGAGAAAGATGTAAGGTTAGGACTAAAACAAGGAGCAACATGTGAGGCAGATTGGCTTGGTGGGCTAGAAGAAGGGAGGGAAGCAGCAGAGGCAGCTGATTGGATTGTCTCAATCTCGTCACTATGGATGGAGGACAGACAGTGTTTTGCAAAGAAACAAAACCTGCATTAGAATTTTTAAAAATTGAGTGAACAAACCTGATGTACTTAACTTTTATCCAGAATATTAAAACGTACAACTGAAGTCTGGGTTCGAATCCCACCTCAGCAGACGGTGGAATCTGAAGTCAAGAAAAAATAACTAGAATTAAGAATCTACTGATTGACAGGGAACCATTGTCAATGGCAGAAAAAAAAAATCCTAATGTCCTTCAGGGAAAGAAATCTACCAACCTCACAGTGGCCCAGCAAGTCACCCAGTTGTATTAATCACTGAGAAGTCTCAACAAAGGAATAAACCTGGATACATCACTTTGCATCAAATAAGGCATCAGAAAATACAACCACAGAATCAGCCCTCTCAATCCTGAAGACTCTACCTTGCTAACATTTGGGGGCTAGTGCCAAAATTTGGAAAGCTGTCTCATAGACTAGTCGAGAAACAGCCTGATATAGTCATACTCACGGAATCATACCTTGCAGACACCGCCATCACCATCCCTAGATATGTCCTGTCCCAATGGCAGAACAGACTCACCAGAATTGGCAGCACAGTGGTGTACACAGACAGGAAGGATTTTCCCTGGGAGTACTCAACATTGACCCAATGGAAGTCTCATGGCTCCTGCTGATTACAACATACCATCCTCCCTCAGCTGATAACTCAGAGCTCCTCCACGAAGAAGAACACTTGGAGAAGTACCGAGGGTGTAAATAGCACTAAACGTACTCTAGGCATGGAATTTCAACGTCCACCATCAACAGTAACTCGGCACTATTGATCAAGCTGGTTGGGTCCTAAAGGACATAGTTGCTGGAATAGGTCTAGAGCAGGTGGTGAGGGAACCAACAAGAGGGAAAAACGTACTTGACCTCATCATCACAAATTTGCCAGCTGCAGATGCATCTGTCCATGATAGTATCACTATTGGTGGCTGTTTCTACAGTTGCCAAGGAAACATAGTCTGGAATTCCCACCATAAACCTCTCAAATTTGCTTTCCTCCTTTGAGATATTCCTGAAAACCAGCTTATTTGGCAACGTTTTGGTCACATGACCTAATATCTCCATCTGTGGCTTCATGTCAAACGTTTCTCGATAATATTTTTATGAAATCATAAACACGATAAAAATACAAATTGTCATTGATTTGGACAAATATCATCAACACTTCACTATCGCTGGATAATGATCCGTAACTTCTTACCTAACCGCATTGTAGGACTGCCTTCGCCACACAAACTGCAGCAGTACAAGAACGTCAAACACCATCTTCTCCACAGCAACAGGGCTTTCACAATGATTGCTGGTTTCTCTAGAGGAAGAAATACAGTTAATGTTTCACAGAATGCAAAATGAATCGCAGGGAATGGAAGTGGTGCGCAATTTGATGGTCAGAAAAAGAAGGGAAATGGACTTTTGCTGGAAAATAATTCTTCCAGAACCAGAACCATCCCTGTCCTCCTAATAGTCCCATGCTGACATCAATCACCCAGGTCCAAAGGCAAGCACAGTTCTTCCTGTTTTTGCTCCAGGAGTGAATGTTCATCCTGAGGTGAGGAAGGAAGGTGTCATTCCTGGTTCTTCTAATGTAAGGCAATAACAACAACTACTTGCATCATATGGAACCTTTCACATTGGCAAATCTCCTAAGGTGCGTCACAGATGATCAAAACCTTGATGAAAGACATCCATTTTAAGGTACATCTTAAAGGAGGATAAGAGACCTCGCCAGCTCCAATGGTGGAGTGATGTTGGTGGGCTGGGTTGGAAAGGAAACATAGAAAAGGGAATTGCAGAAGCACAGGGAATGCATAAAGTCTGAAGGACTGGGGAAGTTCCAGAGCCTATCTTCATAGACAGTATGGCTGTCTTACGGAGTTTGAAGCATGGCACTATAAATGGGTCCATGCGAGTCATGACCACAGGCAACAAGAGATTTCTGCTGTCTTAAAAAGAGTGACAGATCTTGTATCCATGGGCATACAAAACATCACTGACCTCCACCAAACAGGTTTGAGGAAAAGCTGGGGCAATGATGAGATACAGCTACAGGGGGGAGTTGGGGAATGGAGAAGTGGTAACAACCATAGTAAACTTACCCCTTCTCACTACCTTCACCCCAAAACCAAGGGAGTACCAGACAAAACATCTCTAATACTACCACAACATCCCATCCCATAATAGCTGTGCCTGACTCTGCACAAGGAGTTGTGGAACAGTCATTACTGGGACCCACTGGGCACTGAAACTCTGGCTGGAGACCAAAATCATCTGAGCAGTGAGAGCAGGGATTTGAGAAGATGGCCTCCACCTTTGCTGAAACCTACAGGATACACCAGCTAGAAGCAACTGGAAGCATCTCAACTACAAACTGTTATTCATCAACTGTGTGTGCACATTGTACAGGCAGGGATTGACAAAATATTTAGTTTCCTTTTTAAATGGACATGTGAAATGTAAGGTTTGAAACTACTTCCAACCCTAGTCTATTGTCATATCCCCAGGGCCAGCTCACCCTTTCACTGGTTTCATGCTGCAATTTTGAGGCTGACAACAAGATAGGTTTTATCATTTATTGTCATAGATTGTCATTAGAATCTTGTGTTTGTGGTGCAGCAGATAAGTCAACGTTAGAAAATATATCGGAAAGATGCCAAGTTAGACATCCTGGGATTTTAAATCGGGTTTGAAGAGGCTTCCTGCAGCTAACAGCTACGGATAGCTTTTGAACCTGCTTTCTTAGCAAATAGCGAAATGTTGGTGAAATAAACGACAACAGATGTAGCAACCCTGAGGAAAAAGGAAAACAGAATAATGAAGAATACGCAGAATATCACGTGGTTAAGTGAGATGAGTGTTGTTCATATGAACTGTGATTGGCCACAGGGAGGGATTAACAAATCCAGGCTGGGAGCTATTCGGTGGATGAGTGGTTGAAGGAATGTTCAGCCCACAGGGACGAGGATTTAGTGCTGGTGTTGGGAAGTTTTCATTCTGAAGATTCCCACCTGAAACAGTAACCACTAATTTACTACTTTCCCATGATGTGTAACTTGTTATGCATTTGGAGATAGTAGGAACTGCAGATGCTGGAGAATTTTTTCTGAAGAAGGGTCTAGGCCCGAAACGTCAGCTTTCCTGCTCCTCTGATGCTGCTTGGCCTGCTGTGTTCATCCAGCTCTACACCTTGTTATGCATTTCCCCATTTTTGGTTTCTCAATTCAAATTGTGGGGGCTTTGCTCAGTGTTCAGATCACAAAACCATACAACATAGGAGCATAATCAAGCCACTCAGCCCGTCGAGATTGCTTCACTATTTGGTCATGGCTGATATGTTTGCCAACCCCATTCTCCTACATTCTCCCCACAACTCTTGATCCCTTACTAATCAAGACTCAATGACTTAGCCTCCACAGTCTACTGCAGCAAACAGTTCCATGGACTAACTACCCACTGGTTGAAGAAATTCCTCCTCACTTCAGTTCTAAAGAGTCATCCCTTCACTCTGAAGCTTTGCCCTCGGCTCCAAGTCTGTCTTACTTGTCTAAACATCTTCTCCACATCTACTCTATCCAGGCCTCTCTGTATCATTTAAGTTTCAATGAGATTCCCACTCACCCTTCTCAACTTTGTCACATACAGACTCAGAATCACCAAATGCTCCTCATATGACAAGCCATTCATCTCCAGGCTCCTCTGAACCCCCTCCAATGCCAACACATCCTTCCTTAGATATAGGGCCCAAAACCAATCATAATATTCCAAATGCGGTCTGTCAAGAGCCTTATACAGCCTCAGTAGTTTATGCTTGCTCTTCTGTCTAGTCCTTAAGAAATTCATGCCAACATTGCATTTGCCTTCCTAACTGCTAAGTGAACTTGCACGTTATCCATAACAAAATCTTGAACTAGGACTTTTAAGTCTCTTGTGCTTCAGAATTCTGAAGCCTTTCCCCATTTAGAAAGTAGTCTACACCGCTATTCTTCCTACCAAAGTGCTAAACTTCACAGTGTCCCCACATCATACTGTAACTTCCACTTCTTTGGCCAATGACCTCAGTTTCTGCTTCCATATTGTTAATATTATAACATTAACTGTTGTGGTCCCAACACTGATCCGCTAGTCTGATTTCTACTAGCCACCGGCTGCCATCTTGAAAAAGATCCCTTTATCCCCACTCTGCCTGAAACCAGTGAACCAATTCTCTACCCATGCCAATACCCTGCCCTTACACCATGGGCACTGATGTTATTTAGCAGCCTCCTGCATGACACCTTGTCAAAGGCCTTTTGGAAATCCAAATAGCTGATGTCCACTGGCTTTCCTTTGTCTGCCTCACCATTATCTCCTCAAAGTTTCTAACAGATTTGTAAGGCATGACCTCTTCTTGCTGAAGCCATGTTGACTCAGCCCTATTTCACCATAAAGATCCAAATACTCCATAATCTCATCCTAAATGATGAACAGTAAAAATTTTACTAACAACCAAGATCAAGCTAACTATCTTGTAATTTCCCATGTTCTGCCTCCCTCAGTTCTTAAACATGAGCATTACATTAGCCATTTTGCAGTACCCTGGTACCCTCCCTCAATCCAGTGATTCCTGAAAGATCACCACCAATGACTCCATAATCTCCCTCAGAATCCTGGGGTATAGTCCATGTGATTTATCCACTTTCAGCTTCCCCAGCATCTTCTCCTTAGTGATGGCCACTAAACTCACCTCTGCCCAAACTCTGTTCACATTCTGGTATGCTTCTGGTGTCTTCCAGGGTGAAGACTGATAAAGTCATATTATTTTCTTCTGCCATTTCTTTGTTCCCCATTACTACTACTCCAGCCTAATTTTCCAAGGCATGATGTCCACTCTTGCCTCTCTCTTAATTTTTTATATATCTAAAAATCTCTTGCGCTTTTTTTGTTACTAGCTAACTAACTCTCATATTTTGTTTTCTCCCCTCCTACTTATTGCTTTTTCAGCCGTCCTCTGCTGGTTTTTAAAGGCCTCCCAATCCTCAGGCTTCCCACCAAGCTTCACCATTCTATCATTTTTCTTTTGTTTTTTCTGCTGTCCCTGACTTCCCTTGTCAGACACAGTTATCTTGTCCTCCCCTTAGTATCTTTCTTTATCCTTGGGATGAATGTCTTCTGTGTCTCCCGAATTATCCTCAGAAATCTCTGCCTCCACTGTCTTCCCTGCTAGGTCCCCCTTCCAATCAACTCTGGCCAGCTGTTCCTTCCTGACTTTGCTCAATTGTAGTGCTTCCCCCCTCAAACTGTAGGATGAATTCCATTATACTATGGTCGATGCCCCCAGAGATTCATCCACCTTAAGCCCCCTAATCAAGTCTATCACATTATACATTAAGTCCAGAATTGCCTGTTCCCTAGTGGGCTTTACAACAAGCTGCTCCAAAACAAACTCTCATAAACATTCACAAATTCCTTTTTGTAGTATCCACTATCAACATGATTTTCCCAGTCTACCTGCACATTGAAATCACCCATGATTATGGTAGTAGTGTCTGTCTTGCATGCATTTTCTACCTCCTGACTACTGCTGGGAGGCCTGTACATCTGAATGTCATTGGCCTTTGACTATGGGGGAAAAAAAGGACTTGTCTGTTCTGTCTTTGGAAAAGTAGCTAGCTTAGATATGGGTCTGAGCATAAAAGCATTGAGATGTTCAATGAGGTTGTAGACTTGCTCGCCAAGCTGATTGAAGTGTTTGATTGCAGAGGTTTTGTTGGCATCACCACCCTAGCAAACCTGGGCATATAAATAACAAGTGGCACAGAACACCATCGCTTCACGCTGATGATGTTACCTAGTAGGGTGACGAAACATCTGCAATCAAACACACTGGCTCAACCAGCAAGTCTATAACCTCATCCACAACCCGAGCTACAAATCTTCTCAAAACACTTTAGAAATGTTCAATACCATAGAGTAACCAGCCCTGGTGTATGTGTTCAGTATGGACACCGCACCTGAGGAAGGATAGACTTGTACTGGTTGTGGGAATGCAAAGCAGATTTATCTGAACGATTCCTCAAATCTGGGCAGGGTTAGATTATGAAGAATGGTTTACAAATGAGACACACAGTCATGATAACAACGAAAGAGGCCATTTCACCCTTCAAGTCCATGCCAGCTCTCTGCAGAGCAATCCATCTTGTGTCATTAACCGTGAATGTTGAAACGGGACCCTAGACATCAAAGCCTAGGTGAATAATATATATCAGGGAAAGGTAGGTCCGAGCATTACCCCTTGATTAATTCCAGTAGAAACCTTCCTCCTGCCCAAAAACA